TATATATACTATTATTTTATATATATCACATAAACTATATATATAAGAAAAACAAGATCAAGTTCCCTGATTATAAATTACAACCCAAATGCAAAGTGCTCATAAATAGCCATTTAGCATTGGTAAAAAATCCACATCTCTCATTTACTTATCATTCATTAAACGGATGTTTACTTAGGACCTACTATGTGCTGGTGACTTTGTCAAGGGCAAAATGTTTAATTATGGTGCTTTTTCAATTATGGCATTGTGAATGTCATTAAATGAGGGATTCTTTCAGTTATCAAATGTGGCTGTGTGTATTAGTGAGCATTATGTCTTTATGAAAATAGAGTGTGTGTAACTGGTGGAACCTTCAAGAACAAAGGCTTATGTCTCACCCAAAACATGTGTCTGTGGTAAATGGCCTCCACATGTCTTCACTCTGGGACCGGCAATAGGCGCTGGGTCTGGGGGACATCACAGTCTTGCAGAGGAAAAAGAAGAAGAAAATGGGAAAAGTGAGCTCACTCTCAAGCCTTTATTCTGAAGTGAAATGGCTCCAGGGCCCACACTTTACTGGCCCAAATTATATACTAAAATAATAGTATATAATTCCCACAGCCCGGGGCAGCACAATAGTTCAGAGTAACATCACTGTCTGCCCCAGAGGGTTGCTCGATGTTTCGTTATTTTTAGATGAAAGATGACTGCTAACAAGGCTGCTATGAACAAAAAGACCTTCTCTCTCTATGAATCACTAACATTTCAACTTCTGTGGTGACATTAGACTTTGTTTTCTTCTTTTTCTCTTTTAGAGACTTAAGTAACAACCGGATAAGCACTCTTTCTAACCAGAGCTTCAGCAACATGACCCAGCTCCTCACCTTGTGAGTACAAAAGTGTGGTACCGAGCTTTTATTAATTCACTGGACAAAATGCGTTTTCTGTGTCTTGGACCTTCCTGGTAAACAAGACAGATGAAGTCTCTGCCTTCAAGGAATGTACATACTTTTTGGGAGAAAAAGACAAATAAAACCTCAGTAAGCCAAAAAATACGGACATTGCATAAGAGTGTTGGGTTCTATAAAAGGAACAAGAATAATGTATGTTTGCAGTGGGGTTAGGAGAGAGCCTTAAGCAGACTTCTGGGGAAAGTCACTTAGAGAAGGCATGGTTGAGGCGTCAGCATCCAGAAGGGGTATTCTGGACTGCGTTTACGAAACAAATGCATTGTATTAGTGAAACAACACAAATATTTTTTTAAATATTATGCATCGATATTCTCAAATTATAAGATGTTAAAATAACCCTTTTAAAACCGCTTTATTTAAAAAAATGACATTTGGCCACTTTGTGATACTTGAGTAAAACAAATTGGCTTGTGTGTGCTTTCAGAATTCTTAGTTACAACCGTCTGAGATGTATTCCTCCTCAAACCTTCGATGGATTGAAATCTCTTCGATTACTGTAAGCATCTAATGTTCAACGAAATACCTTTTTTTCTCCCTCAAGGATTGAGTTTTTGGTTGTCCGTTTAATGATTCAACTGCTTTGTTGATTCTTGAGTGTTTTTGAATATATACTTTAGGGTTCACTACAGATTTGGAAATAGGAGAATTATGTCTTATTGCCTCATTGTTTAAGAGCTTGTGATTCGGAGAATATAAGTTTCTGTGATACTTGTTGAAGTTGTTTATTTGATACTATATAATATTTAGGTGTATGTTTTATATAGATATAACTAATTTTGAAAGAAATGTAATTTCTGTACAGATTATATAATATATAAACTTCGTATGAAATAAAACAGGATCCTCAGTCCCAAGAGCCTCCCCTAGAATTTACCGTTAAACAGTTTGATGTTCTCTTCTGCCCTTCCTTTGTATGCATTTGCGTTTATATCATGACATATGTATGCCCCTGGCTTTGTAAATTTTTAAAACCATAAAGAGGATTTGTTCTTGTTCTGCCACATCTTTACTATCATTTGTTTTACTTCCAAATTTTTGTTACTCTGTGCAGCAGTTTTAAAGAACATCCTACACATTTTGTCTTGGTGCAAACGTGCTAGCGTTTCAGCAGTGATTTGTGGTGGGAAGCTACTGTCAAAAATATTGAAAGAATACCAGAAATAACCATCGAGTTGTCCTTTAAACAAGATTCTGCCAATTTAGGAATTTATTTTTCCCACCAAGTATTTAATACAGTACCTGTTTTAAAACACTCCTGCAAATATTGAATATTATTAATGCTTTCGGTTTTGTCATGTGACAGATGGAACATTATTTTCCATGTCTATTAATTGGCAATTCCGATTACTAGAGCATTTGAGTATATTTTATTTGTTTATTGAGCATTTGTGTTGTTTAATCTATGAGCCTGATCATATCTTTTCCCATTTTCTATTGGATACTTTGTCTTTTTCTTATTAACATAAATATCTTTATGTATGTATTACTTGACTCAAAGTTTGAAGGTCTTTTCACAAAGGAATTATTCCTTGTATCTTATATATGTTGCAAATATTTCCCATCCAGTTCCTTATATGTAATCTTCTATATTATGAATATATTTTAGATAGTCAAAAATTTGTCACTCCTTTTCATTATGGTTTCTAAGTTTTATATAGTGGTTTTGAAAGCTTTCTCTGTCCCATATTTATAAAAAAAAAAAAGAGAGAAAGAGCTCTTCTGTATTTTCTTTTACTACGTTTGTTTTATTTTTGCATTTAACTCTTTGATCTAGAATTTATTTTATGTATATGATGTGAGGTAGCAACTAACTTTTTGTTTTCCGAAATAAATCCCCACTTGTACCAAAACTGTTTATTGACTAGAACATCTTGGCTGCACTGATTTAAAATGCTTATTATAAACTGAAGTTTCATACATGCATGGGAATTTTTCTGAACTTTCTGAATTATAGGAAATTTAATTTTGCATTTTCTTGCTCTTAGCTCTTTACATGGAAATGACATTTCTGTTGTGCCTGAAGGTGCTTTCAATGATCTTTCTGCGTTGTCACACCTGTGAGTACCTAGTTCACATTGTGGTTTTAGTGTCAAACTATCCTCGGCCAGTGGGTTTGAAACATATCGTCCTCTGCTGCCCTCTTTATTGTCACATCATAAGATGTGATTGGTTCCATCTTTAAAAATAAGGTCAAGATTTTTAATATAGATATGGTGGTCTCTACAGTATAGCCTGAATTTATTCTTCTGGCCATTCCTTCCCATTAGTTGAATTTTCTTTGCTTAGCTAAAAGTCTCTTCTTACAAATGTGGTGTCCCTGACTTCCTAGTAGTCTACACCTTATCTCTCGATGTTCTCTGATTCCAGAATTGGCTCTGCCCAAATCCAGCTTTTCTAAGTCACATTCCCAAGTACCACCTCTTCCATGAAGCCTTTCTTGATTTGCTCAAGCTGGATTCATTTATTTAGCAGATTTACTCAGCATCGACTATGGCACCATGCAAAAGTAGATTAGACAGAGTTCAAGACTTTATAGTGTGGTAGAGGGAAACAGTCAAACTCTCATCTTGAGTGAAATGTTTTTCTTTCGTATTCTCTCTCTCATGTAGCCTGTTTGTATCTCCAAACTGCCTGGAAGTACAATAAAACAATTAAAAAATATGTGATAAATTGGGTCCAAAAATCTCAGTTAGGTCAAATTCCATTATTACATGATTTGCAGTTCTATTATTAAGACCATGGCAGAGCTAGAAGGAAGTTCAGGGAACAATCCTAGAACCCAGAGCCTTCTTACGTCAGGCTGACTTTGGTGTCACCTGGTGGCAGTTATCTGCTTTGACTTAAATTCAATGTCAGTTGGCTCTCAGTTTTCCCAAGGAGCTTGCCTTCCATATTCGCTCTTGGCTTTGCCCTCCCCTTTAAAACGCACCAAACCCCAAGAAGATAAGACATTTAGAAAATTGGGAAAGGGGGATGGGCAGAGAATAGCAGCTAATAGTCAATCGTGCTGTATCTGAATTTGCCTTATGGGGGCTGTGTGATCAATGCAGGATTTCACACATCTGACTGGTGCTTACGGTTAATATTCCTTCTACTAAACTGTTAGGTTCCAGGAGGCGAGACCTCCATCTTTTCATATTTGAGCCCCAGCACCTACCTCAAAGTCAATGTCAGGGCCAGTCCTCTAAAAGCTCCAGGGATGTCATTTGCCTGAGATACACTGTTAATTAAACCAGAAGTTCAGGGCTGCAAGACTGATACTATCTGGCAGAGACTGCAGCATAAAGAAGGATGTGGCCATCCATCCGCCAGTGTTAGGGCGATGAGTCACGAAAGGCTGCATGGGAAAGGTGTTGCTTGAACTAAATAGAACTCCCTTTATCTGACCAATCCCACTAACAGTGAAAGTAATCTGAATCTTCTTTGTCATGTATCCTATTTGGTCATGTATTCCATTTATGCATTTGTCTTTTACTCCTCAGGTTATAAAAAGCCCTACCCTATTCACATTTTCCACTGTGCCCCCTGACATAATAAGGACCAAGTAAATGTCAGTAAAAATGAGATCAAATTACTCAAAGACATAATTTTGCTCATTTTTAATTTAGAAGAAGGGTTAGAATCTGGCATATATATGGGAATAAAATTTACTACGCTCCAATTCTTGGTTAGAGTTGGGCATTAAAACTACTACAATATAAAGTATTACTGTTTTATAAACCTATTTGGGGGGTTTTCTAATAGACGAGTAAGACTGGTATTGCCTTAACTGTAGACCTAAAAACATTACTAATCTGATGTTAATTATAAATTAGAATTAATCAGTTTTTAAATACCACTTTATGTATTCCTTGCGCTCAGATGTGGCAGTTTTACGAACCCATAGGTTAACTTCTTTGACCTCAGTTTCTTAATCTGTAAAATGGGTTAATAATATTGCCCTCAGAAGGTTGCTCTTTTGCATAAAATGAGGTAATTCATGTAAATAAATGGCTTAGCATGGTTCTTGCATATTGTAATGATGTAATAAGTGTTAACTATTATCTTGAGTACTTTCCCTATTGCTACTACTGCTTGTGTGAATAGGAACCAAAGTTCTAAAATGAAAGACCTTGTAAAGGGACAGACATCCAGTGACAGTCTAAATCAGCTCAGCGAGCTAACTGTGCATCTTTATTACCTCGCGCTCTTTCTTAGCTTTGCCCTTTGTACTTACTGGATCTTTTCACTCTGAAACATTCTTCTCAGCCTATCTTCTCCCACTATCTAAATGCTTAGAGATTTTTAGCCACCAGTCCCCCCTCTTTTCACAGCCATCGTGTAAATTCTTCTAGGAGAGCACTTCTAAGTGAAATCCATTTGCACATATGAGTATACGTTAATCTCCTTTGTAGAGGAGTCTTCCTGTGTAGCAGTTAAAAATAACCTGGTTTTCATGTCTGGGTCCCCAGAATCTGCCGTAGTGATAGACTTCTCATTAAATAGTTGGTGAATGAAGGGAAGTGTTAATCTGCACTGAGAGTGTGCTTACATCCAATATAAACCTGTCCCTGCAAATATAAGACGACCTTTTTAATTCCGATAAGTGTGTGAACACTAGTAACAACTCACTTAATCTCAGTTGCACTAATTCAGGAAAATGGATAATCCCAATGTCTCCATTTTCTCTGAAATTGTTTTCACTAATAAATCCACAGAGATTTTCTACTGAGCATCGTTTGGAGTTATGTTCCCTTAGGAAATAACCATAATCTCATACGTGTGTGTGTATGTGTGTGTGTGTGTGTGCACACGATGTGCTTTTTGGTGGTGTTTTCCAGAGCAATTGGAGCCAACCCTCTCTACTGCGACTGTAACATGCAATGGTTATCGGACTGGGTGAAGTCAGAATATAAAGAACCGGGAATCGCTCGTTGTGCTGGTCCCGGAGAAATGGCAGATAAACTGTTACTCACAACTCCCTCCAAAAAATTTACATGTCAAGGTAAGGTTTTTAATTATTCATATTTCTGTCAATAACAATTCACTGTATTAATTTCAAAAGAAAAACAATAATAATTTGCCACTGGACCTCAAAGGTATAGACGAAAAGCGCCAGTAACTAATTGCTGTTTCCACCTGTGCTTGGACGAGACAGGGCACTTAGTTACCTGAGTCATGAATTACTCAGGAGCCCGAGTAATGAAGTAGGCTGTTCAAATAAATTGCAGAAATAGTCTACTGGAAATGACTAAGTTTTCTTGAAAACGCATGAAGAATAGAGTACACGATTTCTGGAAATTCTTCTTATAGCCTCTAACAAGTGAAATATTTTGCTTTTGCCTCATCTGAACATGTGCCCTGCTCCTAGGGCTGCCAGGGCCCTGTGGCTTCCTGCTGCCAGGTAAGGAGACATGAGCCCTCCCGCGTGTCGGGCCAAACCTTCCGACCTGCCTCGTGTGCTGCCATCGTCCTGTGTTAGCGTGGCTCTTTCTTCTTTGTTTGTTTCCTCTTTTCCCCTTCTTCGTTTTTTTGTACTTGTGAATTCAAAATAGTGTCTTAGAAACGAATATTTTCTTCTCTTATTACAAGTGCAATATATGCCTAACATAGAAAAGGTAAAGAATAGGAAAATAGAAACCATAAGAACCATTTTATTTCTGCAAGAACTAAAATGATTATCATTAATCACAATACCTAGAGATGAGCGCTGTTAAATTTGTTTTGTCTGTCTATCCACCGTTACTAATCAAATGTATGAATTTAAGTTAATTACCAAAAGTGAGATAGAAGGTTTCTGTTATTCTTAATTTGTAGATTTTCAAGAGGGCCATTCATGTTTATGAAACATATTTTATGAACAAAACTAAATCCTAGGTAGCATGGAGCATAGACAAGTTTATGCTATGGTCTTGCCTTCCAAGGCTTGCAAACCTAGCTGAAAACGTAAGCTTGCAACATTTGGACATTTACGTAGGAAAAACGCATTTAAGGAGATAATGTCGTGAAGTGGAACCATGGCCTGAGTGCTGAAGCCCAGCCCATATTAGCCTGGGCTAAATGCCAGCTTTACTTTTCAATAGTTATGTAACTTTAGTTTAATAGTTTAGCCAGTCTGTGCCTCAGTTTCCTCATATGTAAGCAGCGACAATGATAGACAATAATACCTAAAAGGGTTTTGTTGGATGAGTTTTATATGTGGAATCCAAAAAAAAAAAAAAGTTGATTTTCTAGAAACAAAGAACAGAAAGGTAGTTACTAGTGAATTTTAAATGTTATTTAAATTTAAATGTAAACAGAACAGTTGCTACAACAGGGCCTGGGATAAAGGGAAAATGGGGAGCTGTAGGTTAAAGGGTTCAAGCTTTCAGTTACAAGAAAAAGCTCTGAGGACGGCATGTACAGCATGGTGGCTTAAGTTAATACGGTATCGTGTCCTTGAAATTTGCTAAGAGTAGATCTTGAACGTTTTCATGATACCCAGAAGTTAGCTGTGTGAGAGGACAGATGTGTTAATCTTGGCGATCATTCCACTATATATATATATCTCAAATCATCGCTTAAAATTTATACCATTGTATTTGTCAACTATTCCTCAATAAAGTTGGAAAAGATTAGTTGAATGAATATATGTAAAACATGTTACCTTACACACTGGAGCACTCACTCTAGGTTAACTATTAATTTTATTATTATAACTTTTCGAAACCCAACAAAAATGATGTGGGATTCTGTACGATTTATTGGTTAAAGAAAGAATTTTCAAAAACCGTATTCTCTCCAAACATTTTGAACCTGGCATCTAATGCTTTTTTCCATAACTATAAATGGTAGCAAAATGTCATTTGTGGTGCATTGTAAAGTTTGACATTTTAAAACAAAACTCTTCCATTATTTTTTAAAATGTATTTGGTGGAATCTAAATATAACAGCTAATTTTAAAAGAGACAAAAACAAGATTCCCTTTAATATTTTACACTGTCCTTTTTCCTTGAACTTCTGTTTTTCTCCTTAAATTTCTATTTCCAGTACCTCAGAGAAACATATCGTTCTTTGTTACAAAAAATGTATATATCATTTGAATTTTAAAAATTTCCTGCCGTCAAAAATCTGTGTGTTTTAAAATTTTTCTTTGAATTGAATCAGTTTCATTAATTCTCAAATATTGATTGGGACACCACTGCTAGTGAACAGCGTAATTATTTATGTACATTTTAACATTTTTACTAAAAATTGAAAGTAGAATTTTATTGGAAATGCCTCTCTGGGATAATGTGCATTGATTGCAAGAGGCTTTGCAAATAACCAGTATTTTAAAGTGTTCTTTTATGACCTAAGATGTTTCCTTGGAGCGGTGCCCCACGGTGAATGTCTGGTGGTAGACTGAGAGGAACACCATTCTTTGTAAAGTCATGTGATTGTCAAAAGGAAGGAGAAACTGGCAAAAAAGTTTAGTCCTAAGCATGGTAGTAGGCAGGATGGTTTTAGAGAGATTGTGTGGGGAATTTGAGAAACTGCAAATTGATTCTATTACACGTCTCTGTGCCCAAGAATGCACTCACTCCATTTTGAAAAATGCTAGTGATTATCTATATTTCTGAAAGGTCAGAGTTCTCTGGAGTTTTTAAAAAATATTTTATGATAACGCAAATTTGAGAAAAGCTACATACTTATATTCCATTCTTAGTGCATCCTAGTTCGCATTAATTTATTAAATGTTCCCAGAATCCAAACGCGTGCATGCATACGCGCACACTTATATACATAAATATCTTTTTAACTCAAGATTTGTCGGAGTCAGTCCTGCCCTATAGAACTTTCTGCAGTAACGGTGACTGCTCGGTATCTGCAGTCTCCACTATGGGAGCCACTAGCTACGTGTTGTTGTTGAGCACTTAAAACTTGTCAAATGCAACTGGGGAACTGAATTTTAAATTTTATGTAAATTTAAATGTAAGTAGAACAGTCGCCACCAGGGCTCAGAGGAATCACGTGGAGGTTGGACGGCGGTGAAAGGTCCAGTGCTGTAGATGCGTCTACGCCAGCTGTTTGGACAAGCGGGCAGGTGTGAAGACGGTGCTGCAGGTGGGCAGAAGCGCAGACACAGAGGGCGCTGGAGGGAAGGGCAGGACTGTGCCAGGAAGTGGGTGTGATGACACTTGCTAATTGACAGATGGTGGCAGGCCCTAGATCTCTCAGCTCAGTGGTGGCAGTTTAGCTTCATATTCTCTGAGTTACCAAAGCAACAGATTACATCTATTTCAAGGTGTACCCTAAACCGGATAGCAAGCCGCATGGGCGTAAGCCAGCGGGCAAGCAGTATAGACATTCGGAACTCAACAAATGTAATGTAGTTGCATTTAGCAGACTTTAGGATTGAGGACTCAGTTTCTCTATACCTTAGTATAATTTTAGAGTGATGGCAAGTACTGAAACTCATAATGACTCAGCATTTGTCAAATTATTGTGAGATTTCATTATCTTAAGACTCTGCTAGTTTAAGATTTATAACAATTCAGACTGCATCTCTACCAATATTACTACTGCTACTATTACTACTACTAATAGCAATAATATAAAAATAATAATAATGATAACATAATAAAAAGAACAACTAATTTGTATTGAGCAGTTTGCATTGTGTTGAGAATTTTACAGATACTTATCTCTCTTAATTTCTGCATCATTCTTATAGTAGGCACTATTATTTCTCCCCTTGAGAGATGAAATACTGTAATTTAGGGAAATTAAGTAATTAATTCAAAATCTCTCAGCTGCCAAGTGAAGGAGCCAGAAGTAGAACCCTGACTCTCTGACCATAGAGCTTGCCTCTCAAGTTTACTTTCTAATTTTCAATAAAAATATTCTCAAAACAAATTATCAATATAAATGATTGTCACCCTACTATTAAAACATACTTAGGAAATGAAAGTCGTGAACCTCTCTCACACACTTTGCTAGAAATATTTACTTATGATAAATGGCTTGGTATAAAGCAAGTTATCCTAATCTATTAATTAAAATAATTCAGTCCATGAAATCTGAGTATGTGTTTCAGAGCTTACATATCTTATGAGCTTAAAAGCAATAAAATGAAGCTTCTTTAAATATTTACATACTTAGGAAATGAAAGTCGTGAACCTCTCTCATACACTTTGCTAGAAATATTTACTTATAATAAATGGCTTGGTATAAGGCAAGTTATCCTAATCTATTAATTAAAATAATTCATTCTATGAAATCTGAGTACTGTGTTTCAGAGCTTACATACCTTATGAGCTTAAAAGCAATAAAATGAAGCTTCTTTAAATATTTTATAATTTGAGTTTTTTATATTTTAATGTAGCTTTTCCCATAGTCATGCCAGTTTAATGTATTTTATTTTATTTTATTTTATGTGTTTTATTTTTGAAATTACATATTCACAAATCTTAGGATTTATATACTCCTAAAATCTGTAAATATGTAATTTCAAATGACAGCAGGAAGATGAATATTATTTATTTGAAGACATGTTTACATAGCTATATTTAAATATACTTTAAAGGTTTTCTCTGCTAGGAAAGGCTGTGCTATTACTTCGAGTAATTAATTCTTTCAAAACGATTTTCACTCTACAGTTTTTAAAAGTATTTTTTTTGTAGTATAATCTCATAGTTTCAGTGGACAACAGAAATAAAGGAACTGGATAAAATAGATTATCAGCGCATATTTAATTAACACCCAGATTAGAACATTCTTGAGTGGGAAGCAGGTAGTAGTGACTGGTCTTTATAAGCCACATGTCCCATCCTCGTCTTTTAATATCAGATGAAATGAGAATGATTAAGCACTCCACAGTGAAGCAGAGATTTTTGCCCCATCCAGGTTTTCATTGAGAAAGTCAGCATGCAATGCAGAATAGTGCTGATTTCTAATGTTGTTCTCGGTTCGAGAAGATTTAGCTATTCAAACAACTTTTTCATGTTTAAATTGACAGACATTTATTCAACACTTAAATATGCT